AATATACTATGACTAATTGGAGCAATAAGCATGATTTACCCACTCCTTTAAATATATTATTAGAAAATAAAACAATTAATAAATATTAATGTGAAGGATAAGATATTCACTATAAATAAATAAAATGTAGAAAATCCTTCGATATAACTAAACAACAAATACCATTGACATTTTAAAATAGTTATTGTCGGATAATCTCACAGCATGAAAAATGAAAAATAATAGTGTCACTTACCTGTATCGCCAATAATGATGTATTTGAATAAATATGCGTATGACATTTCTCCAATAATGTATTAAACAAAAACTTTTATTTATTTAAATGTACACAAAAACTTATTCTAAAAGAATAGATAGAACGGTTAGAACAAATTAGTTGACAGAAGAGCAACTAGAAACGTAGAAACGTCATTCATAATTGCGCAGCACTACATACATCTTTCAGCCAATCAGATTTGAGATGTTTGTTGATTAATCAATACTTTTAAACAACTTGCCGCGAAATCTTTCAATATTTACGAGTTATGGTTTTAATAAATTACGAAATTATAACATTGTTTTTCTTCATTTACTACTACTATATAAAAAAAAATAATTATACATTTGTATAAACATGTTCAACAATAATATAGTCTTTAGATATCGTTAAAGGAATACATTTAACAAATATAATTGTTTGCAAAGAAATTTTAGCGAAGAATTCTACAATTTACGTATTAATTTTGGATCGAAGAATGCAATAACTATATATCCAAAATGTCTTGTCAAATTTGATGTGTCTTTATGCCTATAAATTTCAAGTACAAATCAATATAATGAAGTGAACATAAACATAGAAAAACGTAATGCCATCTCCAGTTAGCAGTGTACAGGAACCCTCAACAGCCCCAACAACACATACTCATACCCATTCCGTTGAAACAAAGACCGAAAAAAAACCGACAGTTTTAGAAAGTCATGGGTACTATTTGGGGAAAACAATAGGTTCTGGTTCGTATGCCACAGTGAGGGTAACTATCAATTTGATAAATCAATAATATTGATTACGCCGACTTTAATTAAAACAATAATTGAAATAGTTTGTGTTTGCTTTTATTGATTATAAGGTAGCACACAGCGAACGGCATGAAGGCAATGTTGCAGTAAAAATTGTGAGCAAATTTACAGCTCCGGCAGATTATTTAAAAAAGTTTTTACCACGCGAAATAGAAGTAGTTAAAGGACTGAAACATCCTAATTTAATAAGATTTTTGCAAGCTATTGAGACAACCCACAGGTAGTGATTTCGATTTTTTAATACACTCTAGAACTTTGAAATAATGTATGTATAATGTGAATAAAACTGCTAGGGTCTACATAGTTATGGAATACGCAGAAAATGGCAGTCTTCTGGATATTATCCGGAGAGATTCCCATATTGATGAAATCAGATCTAGAAAGTGGTTTAGACAATTGGTAGAAGCTGTGGAGTATTGCCATGAAAGAGGAGTGGTGCACAGGTACATATTTTATTCACATAAATTATGCGCACTCCGACGATCATTTTATCTTATTGTTGTTTATATTTAAGGGATATAAAATGTGAAAATTTATTAATGGATAACGACTACAATATAAAGCTCTCGGATTTCGGCTTTGCTAGGGGTCATCTTAGGCAAAAAAATAATCAGGTGCAACTCAGCGAAACGTTTTGCGGTAGTTACGCTTACGCTTCGCCAGAAATATTGAAAGGGGTACCTTATAATCCCCAAATGTCTGATGTCTGGTCGATGGGAGTGGTATTGTACGCTATGGTATTTGGGAGGTTGCCCTTTGATGACACAAATTATAACTTGCTACTAAAAGTAAGTTAAGCTATTATGTATGAATATTCTGACTATTCTACAGGTTTTACAAGCTGATATTTCGCAGTTGATGTGAATCGTGATGAAAAAATCTACAGAAACAAAAAAGTTTCTGATTTCTTTGGCAAAAAACGATATTAATTATAGTTGTTTGTTACATATTAATTATAACATTCGTTAACATGAACAAATCGACAATGTGAAAGGTTGTTATTTCCGGTTTGTGAAGAACGACTAAGATTTTTTAAATATTTCAGGGACTATTTCTGTAAAAAGCAGAAGTTGAATGCAGAAAATAAATACACGTTTTACGATTTATATGTATGTTGTTTTAAGTTTTAATTGTATAATGTTTTAACTTATTTTAGCAAGTTTCAAGTAAAGTAACATTTCCAAGGGAGCCAAAAGTATCTTCGAGTGTAAAACAATTGATAGTGAAAGTTTTGGCTCCTCTTAAAGTAAGAGTTAAAATTTGCGGAATAAAAAATGATTCATGGTATAATCATTCATCTGGAGAAAAAGCTAGTACCAGTAAAGAACAAGGAACGGTAAGCAAATATTTTTTTTTTATTTTAATTTTACTCTACCTGTAACAATAGTTTAATTTTTGAGAGTATACATAGCAAAATGTTATATTGAGCGATTAACATACTGAACTGGCCTTTGCAGGATCTCATATTTTTAGGACGAAAAAAATACTTATAAAACACTGAATTTTTGAGTTTCAGAATTCTGTTTGGCTTAAAAAAAATATAAGTAATAATTCCTTTTTTATGTATATGTTTTCATACAATGTCTATTTAATCTATGATGTCTAACATATCCATTACCTTTTGTAGATCTATTATCTATGAACATATCTCTATTATGTATTATGTAAGGCATAGATAATAGACTATGATAATAGATATAAGGGGAAACTGTGGAGTAAATTGAATAAGATTTTTAAGTTTGCGTACAGCATTTTTTCTAAAAATTTCAAGCAAAAACTATTGTTTCCTATACGTTTGATATGGCTTTACAGTCAGTCAAGAAAATATCACTTCTACTGGGGCACTGTGTTCCATCTGTTAAGTCACAAGCTTCAAAAATAAGAATAAAAAGGTTAGAATTAGATACCAATTTGTTGATGGTAAGCTAATAGTAATGAAACATTGTTAGTTTTTTAACGGTTTCTTTAGTATTTTAGAAAAGATGACTATATATACGCTTACGACCCAAATAAAATATGCAAGACTGGCGACATAGTTTTAGTAGAACTACTAGCTGAAAAGTTGACTCCACTTATAACACACAAAGTTAAAGAAGTAGTTTATCGTCTTGGAGACATTACAGATCCTCTTACAGGGAAGAAAGTAGTAGTTGACAAGTTTAGACACCAAATTGATGCAATTGATGATGTGTTTGGCCCTTCACCTTCCAAGTTTAATTATGATAAAGCACCAGAAAGAGGATGGTTAGAAGATAAGAAAGATTTCACACATGTCGAAACATACATTAAATATCACGAAACAGGAGAAGAGCAACCATATGCAGTTTAAAAGGAAAATGCATTAAGATTATATCTAGCAGTATATTATCATTGTAATAAATTTATAAATAGTGTTATATGCTATCCATTTTCACAAGAGATGTACCTATCATTCATGGTAAAACCTGAACTCTCCTGTTATGAAAAAGTTTATTGTTTAATTACTCATTAATGTTTACTTAAGATCTCTTATTGTGCATCATCAATCAATCACAAACTGCCAAGTTTGTTTTTCTTTCATTGCAGCTAATTATACCCCCAAATAACACCATAAGATAAATAAGACAGACATAATTTTCATATAAGAAAACACATTGCATTTCTTGATCCTAAACAATTTTGATTAAGATTTGTGTTTTGTGACTGATAGTTTAAAGAGACAAATTTGACCATTCTGGTGTTTTACATCCCCTTGCAAAAATTTGATAAACTGTTTCCAGAAAGAAAGTGGAAACTTCAATTAATATTCAAAAATTGTGGCGAAAGAACAATACTATGTAAAATAAAAACATTTCTCTTTATCAGTTGTCTATAAAACAGTAATATTAATGAAATAATTAATTAATTTTAAAAAATACTTATAATTTCTGCTTTAACTACTTTAATCTACAACAAACAAACTGGGTATATTTCAATTTTTTCTTGTTTTAATTATAATCACATCATTTATACTTACAAAAAAAGTACAGAATAAATAAGATTCCTTATAAAATTACTTATTTGGCGTTTTTAATGAGGCCCAATTATTGCATGTCGTAATGTAAGTATTATATGTACGATATTTGACTTTTCTCATGTAAAAATAAGTAAAATAACAGTATTTTGATAGAGAAATTACAAAAAATATGATAAAAAAATGTATCTTAAGAGGTTGATGAAAATCATAAACTGTATGCATTAGAAATTTTTACACATGCACTGGTATGAAATGACCAACCAACATTATACCGTGTAAAATAAAATAACAATAGAAAGCGGAATATTTTTTTAGATATTTTTGCATTAAGTGCAACAACAAACGTTTCGTTCAGTAAGATGTTCAAAGCTAATAATGCATACCAATATTCAAGCTGGAAATTCTAATACCATCATACACATAAAATAATACAACGCATACACTACAGAACACAGATTTGAAATTTATGTAGGGTTCGAACCAAATTCCTTGTTCTTGATGAAGAAATGATGTTTTACTTTTTTATTTTATGAAGTTTGTTGGAATAATGTTAAACAACTACTGCAAATATAAAAGACAACAAAATTCATAAAATGGAAAACAAACTATCAACTTAACTTTGATATATGTACATATTTCTCTTTTAAAAAATATGTTTAACACAAAATTAAAAGGTACCTAAAAAACATCCTGATTTTAATATCTTTTGCGAGGGATTGAAAAATACGACTTTCAATTAATGAAGTATGTTTTTCGTGATAGCGTTTGAAAACATCCTACTATTCAATTATTAATACCTTTATTAGCAAAAATTGAACGCGAAAGCTCAAAATAAAAAATTTCCTTTTTTAAAGTTCGTTAAAAATTTATAACCCTGTACACGATTGGTGAATATTATAAAAAATCACTCACGATTATCAGCACATTGAAGAAATTCAATGCAATTGAACAGAATTATTATAAAATAAATAAAGTACTTTAGATAGAACTTTCCATCCAACATGAACGAAACGAGTTTTAAAATTACAAGAATGTCAAATTACGCCACTGTAATATGTAGCAGTTTTCAATTGAGATCGATTTGTCTTTTTTCTTCATGATCGAAATATTGGAAAAAAGGTCTAAGAACTCACACTTAATTCGGGCTCTCAGTTGTTCGATAAAAACTCTCTTTCTAAAGCAGCTCCCATCATGTTCCATTCACCATCGTCGATTTCGTCTGGTGCATCAATGCTCCCCTCACTATTCGAATCGCCCTCCATATCTACTTCGCTAGTTATGTCTTCACCTCTGCGAAATTTTACACTCGGAGAGTCACTGTCCGATGATTCGTTGTCGTCCAATCCGATTTCATCATCGTCATCATGTGCGTAGTGAACGTGACGTCGTCTTCTCTTCAATGAACGTTTGTGACCTCGCGGCATCTCAGCAGTTATTGACTCATCAGAACTACTGTTTTCTGTTTCCTTTTGAACATCTGTAATGTAATCCTTTGCCATTTCCTGGTCCTCGTTAAGTCTTTCGGGATCTTCTGCAGATCGTGGAGCATCTCGTTCACTTTCACTGTCCCCATCCTCCAATGTATCTTCGACCTTAAATGAAATACAATCGAAAAAAAAGTGAATATATAAATAAACAGTCAAAAAATCAAAATTGGAGAATTATTAAAATGAATTATTATTTTTATTACCTCTTTGTCCATATCAGCGATGTCATCTGTGGAAAACGACATCAGTGGATTGATGGTGTCCATAAATCGCCCACTGTCAGTCCGCTTTCTAACTGCCGGAGCGTTATGCACCCCGTACTCAGAAACATGTTCGGGACTGCTACAATGAGGAGGTGGATGCCGATTTTTCGAGCCCTTATTACTCAATGGGAACAACTTTTCGGAGGCTCGTTCCCATCTTTCTGCGCACGCCCATAACCAATCCGGAGTAACTATATGAAGATTTTTTTTCCTACGTCCAGCGTTAACTTTTGCTGTTCCTCGTCGTACTGCAACCAGATGGGTCGTGTCTTCTTCCAAATCTTGTGTTACCTCTGCGCCCAAGCTTCTAGCAATTTGAAACGCTTTCGACTGTTCTAATTTAATGTGCGTGGGTACCAGACCGCTAAAACATAATTTTGTGTCCTGTAATATTTGACTCTTCACTCCTGGAATAATTTTTTTTAAGTCTGGTACAACCCCTGATTCCATTACATCGAAATGTTCATAAAATGTCTTGTGAACTTTTTTAAGAATATCTTCCAAATAAAGAAGATAGTCATCAGGATCGTCTATGACTATTAAGTTCAGTGAGGAATTGAGTGAAGATTTTGCAATATTTTTATCGATGTCAACATTTGGGTTATATTCATCTTCTTGACTAGATTGTAGACATGTTTCCAAATTGGTTTCAGTAAGAGTTCCTTCATGTTTCTCTGAAGAACTTTCTACTTGCATAGCTTTATCACAGGTCCTTTTACTAACTTGATTTGGTGATCCACTTACTTTACATGGCTCATTTGCTTCTAGTTGCCCACTATTTTGTATTGTACCATTTATTTTCTTTGATCCTTTTTCAATATCCTCATCTTCTTTACTTGAAACACCTACTATTTTGTCTTTTTGTACATTTTCTTCATTCTTTTCTGTTTCTTCTGTATTATCTCCTTCATGGAAATTTTCTTTCAAATTCTCTGATTCTTCAGCATTTTCAGAAGTATTCTCTTCAGTATTTGTGCTTTTATCTTCTTTGGGAACCATTTTGGTAAGGTCAACACCTACTTTTTCATCATCTTCATGTTTATCAAGACCTGGGGGAGCATTGATATCACCAGTGTGTTGGAAAAAATGATACGGCTTTACATGAATTAAATTAGTGGCATATGACCAAACATCTTCCCTATCATCAATAATGCATACCATATGATCACCACATGGAAATAGAGAGCTGTAAAAGTATTACAAAATGTTAATAAAAGAATATATTGCTTTTAATAATAACTTTCTTTACTGTTTTTAGACAGTGGAGTTATATTTAACTTAGCCTTATGTTACATAGCCTAGTCAGCATACAGGTGGTTTACCATTTCCCGTCACTTACCTAAGTGTAATCCATATTGGTTAAATAAAATAAATAAATAAAACTACTTGGGAGATAAGTAACAATTACTTGCCTTAAGTTTGCAGTTTTGCTGGTAGGGTTGAAGCATTCATCTCTTGAAAGAACTCGATTGGAAAAAAATCTTCCATCTGGATCTAACAACTGTGTAATTTTATGAGCATAATTTCTTGCACCAAATGTGCAAATATGAAGTTCAAAATAAGGAAATATGTTTGTTAGAAATCGTTGCGTGCCTGGTCGTAATCTTGTATGATACCAAGGAGAGTGGGGTCCATACAGTTGGAAATGATAAACATCTTTGATATTGGGAGGAATTATATCATTAGTTGTATGTATAAGAGTTTGGTCTAAATCTACAAGTAAAACAAGTTTTCTATCATGCAGGAGACGTTCTTCATCTGCCTTTCCTATTTTATGGGCAAGCTACAAATATAAAATATTTATTCATAATGTCTCTTAAAATCTTTAACAAAGTATTACCTCTTTGCTAACTTTAAGATCAGGTACTGAATGAATCATGGGAACTGAAGCCGTTGAATCTAATTCTTCTTTTCTTAAATCAGCTCCACATTCAGCACACATGTCTTTCATCACTGTGGGATGAATACATGGTTTTAATTCCAACAAGGATTCACTAAAAAATGGTGCAAAATAATAGTTCCCGCCAAGAAACCTTTCCCGCTTTTTATTTTTAAATCTTATGCTAATACTTACCCTGGATTTACGATGGCGCCTTCATCGGCCAGGAGTTTATAAACAGAACCAGCTCGTGTCGACTTTAATTTTCTTTGTTCCTTCTTCGTATTGAGTCCAACATCATAAATAAGCAAAATAGTGCCCATTGAAACAAAATAGCCTTCGCTTACTTTCCATTTTAGTATTTTTATTGGGTTTGAAAACTGCTGTGACACAACTTCCAGTTTTTCGGCCATCTTAAAATAGTTGCGTTCCATTTAATAACTTTCGTTCTTATTTCGGTAAGAGATCGCAAAACTGAGAAGTTCATTTAATTAAGATCAGTTAAGGATCAACATTTAAAATGCGAGTCTTCATGATGAGAAACTTGAAACGTTGCATTGTACTTGAAGCTTACTTCATGCACAAAACAATGATAAAATGTATAATAAAAACTTTATTTAAAGCTTTAAACTTTAAATAAAAATACAATTGGATTGAAAAATAATCTTACATAAGCCACAAAACATAACCGATAGGCAAATATACTATTCAATTAAAGTTATACTGTTGTAATAATTATAATCCTAACATCATAATTTAGTAAAAACCTTTTATTCCATAGTACTTGGGCTAATTGTACACAAATATACAACACTTTAAATAAAAATCACAATAATATACAATAGTACATAAGTTAGTGTATGTAAATATTTTACCAAAATTAGTTTAATTGGAAGTAAAGGCTTAAGTCAGTAAACAGAAGAACATCCCCTTTCCAATAAATTATTGGTATGTGTATTAAAAGGTACCACTAACTTATGTAACTATTTTTGGGTATGGTTAATATGTTTATGCAAGTAAATCCCTTAAATAAAAGGGTGACAAATTTTTCCCTAACAGCAACTTCCACCTTGAGAACTGCCCTGGCCTCCAGCACCAGGTAAAGAAGGGTTTGTTGGTGAATGCTGTGGACCTATCTTAATACCATTAGCCTATGGGAGAATCATAAAATTGCTTTATCATACCTACTTGACATTGTTTTAATTAAATATTTAGCAAAACGAACATTTAATACAGTTACCTCATTATTTATATCAAACACCCCTTCCTGAATTTTTTCATATATTTCTTTGGCAGTATTAATAAAAGCCTCTTCCACATTTGCTGCAGTTTTAGCTGAAGTTTCCATGAAAACTAGGCCATGTTCTCTTGCAAATGCTTCACCTTCTTCCTTTTTAACTTCTCTTCTACTTTCTAAGTCACTAAAATTAAAGTCAAAAAATTATGCGTTTTCTATTTTATAAAAATTTTTTTAAATCAAACCAACCTTTTGTTACCAATTAACATAATAACCATATTAGAATTGGAATGTTGTCTAGCATCCTCTAACCATGTAGTTAAGTGATTAAAAGTTTCCCTACGTGTAATGTCATACACTAAAAGGGCCCCTGCAGCCCCTCTGTAATATGATCTAGTTATAGACCGAAAAGCTTCTTGACCAGCAGTATCCCATATTTGAAGTTTAATTTGCTTTCCATCAATTGTTATCATGCGAGCCCCAAACTCAACACCAATTGTAAGATCATGTACTGGTTGAAACCTTTTATCAGTGAATTGGAGCAATAAGCATGATTTACCCACTCCTTTAAATATATTATTAGAAAATAAAACAATTAATAAATATTAATGTGAAGGATAAGATATTCACTATAAATAAATAAAATGTAGAAAATCCTTCGATATAACTAAACAACAAATACCATTGACATTTTAAAATAGTTATTGTCGGATAATCTCACAGCATGAAAAATGAAAAATAATAGTGTCACTTACCTGTATCGCCAATAATGATGTATTTGAATAAATATGCGTATGACATTTCTCCAATAATGTATTAAACAAAAACTTTTATTTATTTAAATGTACACAAAAACTTATTCTAAAAGAATAGATAGAACGGTTAGAACAAATTAGTTGACAGAAGAGCAACTAGAAACGTAGAAACGTCATTCATAATTGCGCAGCACTACATACATCTTTCAGCCAATCAGATTTGAGATGTTTGTTGATTAATCAATACTTTTAAACAACTTGCCGCGAAATCTTTCAATATTTACGAGTTATGGTTTTAATAAATTACGAAATTATAACATTGTTTTTCTTCATTTACTACTACTATATAAAAAAAAATAATTATACATTTGTATAAACATGTTCAACAATAATATAGTCTTTAGATATCGTTAAAGGAATACATTTAACAAATATAATTGTTTGCAAAGAAATTTTAGCGAAGAATTCTACAATTTACGTATTAATTTTGGATCGAAGAATGCAATAACTATATATCCAAAATGTCTTGTCAAATTTGATGTGTCTTTATGCCTATAAATTTCAAGTACAAATCAATATAATGAAGTGAACATAAACATAGAAAAACGTAATGCCATCTCCAGTTAGCAGTGTACAGGAACCCTCAACAGCCCCAACAACACATACTCATACCCATTCCGTTGAAACAAAGACCGAAAAAAAACCGACAGTTTTAGAAAGTCATGGGTACTATTTGGGGAAAACAATAGGTTCTGGTTCGTATGCCACAGTGAGGGTAACTATCAATTTGATAAATCAATAATATTGATTACGCCGACTTTAATTAAAACAATAATTGAAATAGTTTGTGTTTGCTTTTATTGATTATAAGGTAGCACACAGCGAACGGCATGAAGGCAATGTTGCAGTAAAAATTGTGAGCAAATTTACAGCTCCGGCAGATTATTTAAAAAAGTTTTTACCACGCGAAATAGAAGTAGTTAAAGGACTGAAACATCCTAATTTAATAAGATTTTTGCAAGCTATTGAGACAACCCACAGGTAGTGATTTCGATTTTTTAATACACTCTAGAACTTTGAAATAATGTATGTANGAATGTACAGAAACTGAAGTCTCATAATATATAAAATTATAAGAAAATAATGGGTGGTTCGATATTTTATTATAAACAATATTATGTTATATATGCGACTCCACGCACAATGTTTTAGCAAGTGTTCTCTAACGAAAATTGTCAACAAAATTATTACATGCTGTTAATATTAGTTGTACTATATTTTCTCACCTTGATTAGTTGCAAAATGTAACGTTTCAAAGTTCACATGTGCGAAAGGCAAATTAAATCCAGAATGAAAGGTACGAATTCACACTTCGCTTGGTATTGTAATTTTCAAAATTTTTAGGATTTGGATTAATCCAACATGTTTAGAAAAGTCGTTGTTGGTATTTCTGGTGGTGTTGATAGCGCAGTTGCAACTCTTATATTAAAAAACAAAGGTATATATAATACAATTGTTAAAATTTACATTCAACTATATTAATTATTTAGGATTTAATGTATGTGCTTTATTTATGCAAAACTGGGATATAAAAGATGAAATGGGCATTTGTACATCAGATGAAGATTTCAAAGATGCTTCTGAAGTTTGCAAAAAACTTAATGTGCCCATTTATTATGTTAATTTTGTGAAGGAATATTGGAATGAAGTATTTAGGTGTGTATTAAATACATACCAGCTTTTTTATAGTAACAGTAATATAATTATAATAAACATTTAGCTATTTTTTAAAAGAATATGAAAGTGGATACACTCCAAACCCTGATATTTTATGCAATCGCTTTATAAAGTTTAATTACTTCTTTCATTATGCAAGAGAATACCTGCATGGAGATGCAATTGCAACTGGTCATTATGCAAGAACAAGTTTTGGAAGTTATCTAGAAAATTACAGTGATGTAAAAGGTGACAAATAAAACTATAAATGAAAAAAGATATTCACATTAATTGTATTTATCAGTGAAACTTTTAAGACCTTATGATGAAATGAAAGACCAAACATTTTTTCTAAGTCAAGTTAAACAGGAAGCACTGAGACATACAATGTTTCCCCTAGGAACCCTATTAAAATCAGAAGTAAAAAATATTGCTTTACAAAATGGTTTTCAAAAAGTCTCTAGAAAGAAAGAGAGTATGGGTATTTGCTTTATAGGCAATAGGAATTTTCAAAGTTTTATAGCAGAAGTAAGTGCACATTCAAATTAACACTAGCAATTAATAATCAATTTTCAGTATATAGAAGATAAACCAGGAAAATTTGTTAACATTGAGAATGGTGAAACTGTGGGAGACCATAATGGTATACATCAGTGGACCATTGGTCAGAGAGCAAAAATTGATGGTAGATCCTTACCTTTTTTTGTTGCAAGGAAAGATTTGGATACAAATACAATATATGTAGTACGTAAAAAAAAAACAATTTTTAAATAGCTTATAATGACTAAGTATAATTATTTATCTACTCTAGCATTACAATTATATGCATTAATACTTTCAAATAATTTAGTTTGATATAAATCATACAAATTTTAAATCAAAACAAAATTAAACCTTTATTGCAATTCAAATCAAGTTTAAATGAATTTAATATATTTTTTTATTTTACTTTCAGGCAGAACGTCATAATCATTCTGCTTTACAGACGGAATTATTTTTTACTGACAAACCTCATTGGATTTACGAAACTCCTGAAGAGCTTCGCAGACATGATATCTTAAGCTGTAGATTTACTGATCAAAATATGAAAGAGGCAGTCGATTGTGAAGTTTATGAAGCAGAAAGAGGACTTATTGTGAGTTTAAGTAGAGAAAAACGTGCGTTAGCCCCTGGACAATTTGCAGTTTTTTACAAGAATGAAGAATGCTTAGGAAGTGCACGAATTTCTAGCTCAGGACCTTCCAATTTTATTTTACATTGGCTTCAAAGGAATAACGTTGTCTTTATAGCACACAAACTAAATATATATAAAACTACAATAAGTGGAAATTGTGAAATAAATACGGAAAACGAATATATGCAAGAAACAAAGACTAATAAATACACAACGTGCAAAAGCAGTAATAACCAAATTAAAGAGAATATACAAGACAATAAAATAAGTATTGTAAAGTTAGGAATTAGACACAACTGTTAACCACATTTGAAAGTATATAAATGTACAAGAAGATTGTTGAAATAAATGTTTTTATATTTATGGTAAGTGATTTATATCAAGAAAAGGGAATACAAAAAGTTACTTAAGTAAAAAATATAGAGAAAATGTTTTTTGATTTCTTCAAATAATGCAAGTATTTTTACAAAAACAATACTTTTCTCTATTTAATTTAATGTTTTATCTAATTTTGAGGTACATCACATTTTTCTTTACTACTTTTCATTTTACAACTCAGTTATTGCCTGCTTTAATTTATATATTTTTGTTTTTGTAATGACTATTACCTCTTTCTATAAATTTGTTACTTTTCCTTTCATCTAAATCATACCTTTTTTTTTCACCAAAATATTTTTTCTTATTCTCCATATTGCTTTTTTCATTGGGATCTTTCTTAAATTTTTTATGCACTTTCAGAGATTCTTCACTTTTTCTCTTGCCTTTTTGTTGTGAATCACTACTTTCAGAATTACTTTGATACCTGCTTTTGAATGCTGTAATTTTTCTATGCTTTTGTGTATTTTTATCCTCATCTGTTTCTGAACTTTTTTCTTCACTAGAACTGTTATTTTGTTTCTTTTTTGAAATTTTCCTTTTCTCTTTTTTCTTTTTTTTACCTGACATATTTCTATTTTTCTAAAAACAAATTACAATTATATTCTGCATAAGCTGTCGTATTGAATGATTATATTTAAAGTTACCTCATCATTATCATCTTCAAATTTCTCTTGTTTAATTGGATAGATTGGCAGTCTGGGAGGCAGTCTAATTTCACCAGATATTTGATCAGCAAGTGTTTCTCTCACATCATCATGTTCAATTTTTACTGGATTAATTCCCACTTTTGGCTTAGCTATTATTTGAGGGGCACAACCTTCACTATACAAACGCTTTGTTTCCTCATCAGTTTTCTTCCCTTCTTTTGGCACTTTGTAATCACTAACATGATCTACACGTAATGTTCTTCCTAAAATCTGCACAAATAAAATTGATTAAAACTTATGAAACTTATTTAAAATACCATATATCAATTTTCACCTTCAGGCCATTAAAATTATCAACTACTAAAATTGTTGATCTCTGGTCTTCAAAACAAATAAAGCAGAAACCTTTAGATTTTCCTGTATCTTTATCACGCACTAAATTTATATTTACAATTTCACCATACCTACAAAATTGATCCTCAATAATGATTACATTATGGACAGTTTCATAACATACTCACTGGGAAAATATACAAATTATATCACCTTCAGTTAAATCATAAGGTAAACCACCAACAAATACCCAAGCACTGTCTTTATATTGATCATGCCAGGACGACTTTGAATTCGTTTTGAGCTCCTGTTCGCTGAGCTTCTTAACATTTTTCATATTCCTAAAACTTCTAAGTTATTGACAACAAAATAACCTTAATGGAAAACTTACGTTAGAGGATTCATTTTTAATGAAAAATGCTTATATTATATATAGAACTGATGCTTTTTAATAAATATTAGAAAATAAGCAATAAATATTTATATTTCAGCAACTTAACCACAACTTCTATTACTAAATACATCTATGGTATTCATTCTGTGTGGTGGATCTATAACCGCATCGGTAAATACTAAATTTAAAATAGTTATATTGTTATCATTTAATATTATGCTATGTATTTGGAGGATAGCTAAATAGTCTATTATTATTATTATTATTACTGTTATCATCATTTAATATTTACAAAATTCAGTTAATACCCCTAAAATAAAGAATTTATTTATATTTACTTTCACTAGATTAGTATCCTACCAATTTTAATCTCTATTTTACTGAAATAATTGGAGAGATAATAAATATATGTATATGTTTTCATACAATGTCTATTTAATCTATGATGTCTAACATATCCATTACCTTTTGTAGATCTATTATCTATGAACATATCTCTATTATGTATTATGTAAGGCATAGATAATAGACTATGATAATAGATATAAGGGGAAACTGTGAAGTAAATTGAATAAGATTTTTAAGTTTGCGTACAGCATTTTTTCTAAAAATTTCAAGCAAAAACTATTGTTTCCTATACGTTTGATATGGCTTTACAGTCAGTCAAGAAAATATCACTTCT